TAGACTTGCTTCAAGTATCTCSTTTCCAAAAACCTGCTTAACAGTGCTACAACCAGAMCTGGAAGCCCCAYTRGATTYGTACACAAARTCCCATTCTTTCTGTTATTTTCCTATATTTTCCACAGTAAGTTTATCTTTTTTTCCTAAATAGTGCACTGTCATCCTGTCAAAGTCTAGACAATATTATATATTGGTATTAGGGTGTAGTGAATTTCTTTGTCTGGAAGGGCATAAAATGTATTCTGTTAGAGGAAAATCATATTGAACCTTTTGTGACCTCAACAGAATGTCTACCGGGTGAAAGTTCCGAAGAAGAGTTTGCTGATGATGAAATATTAAAAATGTTAAGGCAAAGATCTAAAGATCTCAAAACTCAACTRAGGTAATAAATCCTAAGGTCACCATGCACATTTTGCATATATARATATGTATCTTAGGCCTGTTTCAGACGTCCATCTTTTGTTGATCAAATCTAATTGGTGGAGTTGAGTTTATGAGCATTTTGTACTCTGAATTTATTGACATTAGTACATTTTGTTCAGTTGGACAAGCTAACTATAATCTGTAAATATTAATCAATGCAGACTGCAAACATCTCTAGAGAACTGCATGTAAGCAATTTGATTAGGTGCAGCAAAAGATCGATGTCTGAAATGGGCCTATTATTTTCTTATTATCCCTTAATTATGCATTAATTTGAGAAATTTCTTTTCTTCAGGGAAATAGATCAACTTATATTGGACAACAAATAAAACTGGACAATCAGTACAAAGTAAAAATTGTATTAGTATGTACATCAATATTATCTGTAGCATTTAAATGATGATATGATGATTAATTAAACCTTATTTATTATTAAAATCATTTGAAAATTGTCTTTTTGTAGTACTGTAGCTCTCTAATGCTTTCTTTGATGTCATCAAGTGCTCTAAACATAAAGAAATATTAGTTAATAACACTGTTTGCATCATGAAATGGAGGTCCAATTCTCATTATATTTCATAAATTCATATTTAATCTTATGACAACTTTGATATTCATTCAAAAGACTAATCAATACCTGTGATTCAAAGCTTTTTTTGGAGTGCCATTGTATTCTATTGGATACCATCGCCTATAAAAATGATAACACATCACTATGTATAACAAATGAAATGTTCAGTATACAGCTGAACTGGAAATACCAGGAAACAAGAGAGAAAGTGACTTTTTCTGATATCTCTTTCCAGTTTGGCTCAGACTTTCTTCTTGGTCAATAATCATTCGTAAATATATTGTAGTGTTACTTTACAACGGTGGTCAAAGTCCATGCAATRTTGACTTACATTTAGTAAATAACTAGTACAACTTGAGTAATGAGGAGTAGTATTGCATAAATTATTTTTTCATTCTTACCTACATAACTCTTTGATAGTACTRACATCAATGATTCTGTAATGCAAATAATCTAGGAATCTAGGCATGTATTTTTTTAAGAATCTCTTATCTTCATGAACTGAGTTTCCAGCCAATGGACAAATATTTGGTGAAGTTATATGTTCCTTAACAAAATCAACCATGATATCTTCAGCTTTACTTAGGCTCAGATCTGAGGCTTTTACAGCGTCAGTTAGTCCAGACTGTAAAAGGAGAAAAAAACTAGGAAGTGACACAGTATTTGGTACCATATACCAAGGAAATGAATCATATGCACTACATGTAGCTAGAAAGGCAACAAGAAAAAAGTTCTATAAAGAAGTATTTCTGTATTTTAAAAAAATATGATTGAAAAACCAGTGACTCTACATAGACCCGCTATTATAATAATTCATTCTTTTTTCCCCACTAAATTCAAAGTCAAATAGGGGCATATATAAATATCATGACTAAAAAAATGTCTATGCTCCATGAAATTCTACACTCCACAATTTAATGAAATAATACTATACAAACATGACGTGGTTTTACCTCTCCATGATGCTTTGTACACCACTCTCCCATTGTATTAAGTATTTCATCTGGTTGATGGATAACAAGATTTGGAGCCTGCATAACAGATTGTATTTATAATGGAGGAATATTTAATGTTCATAGACATAAGTATAGCTATGTGTATGAATAATGGCATAATGTGGAGTGATATTGGAGTGATAAGAGCTATACCAGCCTAAAAATTCCAACTTCATTTTCATGGTATATTTTTAAAAGTCTCACTTGGACCACGGAATAATATTCATTAGTGTGTACTTACCTCTGCTACAACATTAAGTTCTCCATCTGTAATAAGGCATGCCATTTCTATGATGTGACATGTATCTAGATCCAAACCTGTATGAATTCAATAAGATTTATCAGTAAATAAAAAATAATGCATATTCGATGCCGCCATTCTCACTTTTATTATATATCCACTTAATAATCCCATTGGCAATAGAGAGGACTAGAGGACTAGTCCTCTCTATTAACTATGTTAATCCTAAATAGGAACCTATCCAATCATTTTCTTAAATGGATCGACAGCTAAGGAATAATATGGGGATATAATCAAAGGTAAATTAGAACTCCATGCTGTCCAATCTTATTAGGAGATAATTAGACTAAAAAAAATCCTCTGACTGAAAAATTGTACTCAGTCTATGGTCTTGTCTAATTTTGGCAGTCCACCTTGTCCAATTATTTTAATTTGACAAGTTGGAGTTTTATTACATATAAAAATAATTAATAATTATTATAGGCTATAGCATTCAATCTTAAGTGGAACTCCCTTTGCAGGAAGGAATGTTTCAAGAGATTTATAAATTGTAGCACATGGGTAATATGATGATATTGCCCACCCTTTCAAGTTTCATAATCAAAACATGTGGGACTGGTTGTACGAAGAGTAGATAACGTTATCAATTCCATGAGCTTTATCTGCTGTATAAGGATTTATCTGTGGATATCTCTTGKGGCCCCCATACAACCAGCTCCAGGGATTCAAAATTGATATAAAAGCTTTTATAAATGTGGCCAGTACACAATATATAATACAGATATACAGTTTAGCAACAAAAAATATAGCAATGTTTACTTACCTGTCATCTACGAGGGTTGTGCAGAGCAAATGGGA